TAAGGGTGTGTAAGCTTCTACCGTCAGTTGCCCTTCAGTTTTTGAAATGGCACTTGTGACATTCCTTTTAGAAGCCACTGCCCACCAGCCCCATCTACTTACTCTTCTTCAACACTGCTGTAGGGTTAGCCAAGAGTAAGGAAAGGCATTGTTGGACTAGACACACATCTCATTTTCCTGCTTGGTTGCATGCACATCTTTTTATTTGGGAACACAATTATAACTCAGTAGGTCTGGACACCTCTTACTGTCTATATAACCTTAGACAAATTATATTAGTTCAGTTTCTTCATCTTTAAAAAGATAGTAGTATCTTTAGCCTCAGAGGAGTCTATGAAAATTATGAATCATAGAAATGTATAATAAATGATGACTATACCTCCTTTTTTTGCTTTGTTTTTTTTTTGTTTTTTGTTTGTTTTTTGTTTTGTTTTGTTTTTCGAGACAGGGTTTCTCTGTGTAGCCCTGGCTGTCCTGGAACTTACTCTGTAGACCAGGCTGGCCTCGAACTCAGAAATCCACCTGCCTCTGCCTCCCAAGTGCTGGGATCAAAGGTGTATGCCACCACCGCCCGGCTTTTTTAAAGGATTTTTTATTTTTTTTTAATTTTTTTTGGAACTATACCTCTTAACAAGTTAGTCTGCTGAAATTATTTCAGACATTTCGGCCCTGAAAGTTTTAGGTGCTTAAAAATAAATAATGTTACCTCTGATTAGGAGGTAGTTTACTATAAGCATTTCCATCTCTGAAGCTTGTTAATTCATTGGCTTTGTCTGAATGCTGAATCAGTGAGCAAGTCACTACCTCTCTCTTCTTGCAATGGCTTCTGGGTCACTTTTTACTCTTACAGTGAAGAGTGGGAGTGGAGCAGATCTGAAGAGAGCCTGTTTTATAGCCCTGAACTCTTTTGATTTTTCGAGACAGGGTTTCTCTGTGTAGCCCTGGCTGTCCTGGAACTCAGTCTGTAGACCAGGCTGGCCTCAAACTCAGAAATCTGCCTGCCTCTGCCTCCCAAGTGCTGGGATTACAGGCCTGCGCCACCACTGCCCAGCACAGCCCTGATCTCTTAAGGAGCCTGAATCATAACAAAGAATCCTTTTATCTGCATCTGTTTGCCTCTGTCTTGCTAGATTGTCACTTGGGATTTTTTTTGGGGGGGAGGGGTTGGTTTTTGTTTTTGTTTTGTCTTTTTCTTTTTTTTGGCTGGTTGGTTCATAATGCATTTTAGAAGTTAGTGCTAGGGTTTGTCTTGGTTTTGTTGTTTGTTTCCATGTTAATCTTTAAGGCAAAACTTTTAAAGACAATAATAAGATAACAAAATGTATTTTTAGTATGTATATTTAGATTTTATATCATTTTGCTTACAGGGGATATGAAAGGTGAAGTGTATCCTTTTGGCATAGTTGGGATGGCCAACAAAGGGGATTGCCTACAGAAAGGGGAGAGTGTCAAGTTCCAGTTGTGTGTACTTGGCCAAAATGCACAAACTATGGCCTACAACATCACACCCCTTCGTAGGGCTACTGTGGAGTGTGTGAAAGACCAGGTAATTAAGTGCTGTGTCTCTGGATGTGCATTCTATCCCAATAGCTGACAAAGGAAAGTCATCAGCCAATATTTATTTATTTATTTGTTTGTTTATTTATTTGACATGGTTTCTCTGTTGTTTTGGCTGACCTGGAACTCACCCTCTTGAGTCCTGAGATTTAAACTTCCATGCCTGATTCATAGTTCTCATAGTTTTTTAGACTTTATTGCTTTGGGACAAAGATAGGGAATAAAGTGACAACATTAGCAAGGAGAAAATACGTGTGATTATTAATAATTACTGTCACTTGGTGGGGATTGTCTCTTAGTCGTGCTTTGAATAGAATGGCAGTTGTTTCAGAGGTGTTACTTTTCCTGATAAATTTAGCTCACCACTAGTAATGCCATGTTTTATAAGTCCTTTCTAATTAGGGCTAGCATTATCTTTCAAAATGAAGTGCTTTTCCTTTCTTCTCCATTCTAAATTTTGTTTGTGTGTGTGTGTTTTCTTTTTCCAGTTTGGCTTTATTAACTATGAAGTAGGAGATAGCAAAAAGCTCTTTTTCCATGTGAAAGAAGTTCAGGATGGCATTGAGCTACAGGCAGGAGATGAGGTAGAATTCTCAGTGATCCTTAATCAGCGCACTGGGAAATGCAGTGCCTGTAATGTTTGGCGAGTCTGGTGAGTTTATATTTGTTTATTATGGTTGGTAATAACTGCTCTCAGTTCATCCCCTCATTCATGTATTTTATGTTTTCTTTTCCACTCTCCTCTGGTTGGGTTTATTAGGAAGTATTTTTGCACTTCTATCTCTGTGTAATTTTGTCTTTCTGCTAGTCATTGCTTTGTTTAAGACAGGTCTCAGTTTTATATCCATGACTTACCTTGAGCTTGCTGCCATGTGCCACCACATCTATTTTTCTACCTCTAGTATTTATTGTCTGACTTGGAGTCTCATAACCCTGACCTGAGAAACTTGGGTACTGTCATGATGTGTTAGCGTTGTATGTGCTGTACCTTAAATGTTAATCAGTTATATGATCCTTGTTCTTCAGAAATTTAGCTTATTGGCTCTTTCTGTCAATTCACTTCTAGACTTTGTGCTACTGAAATGTCTAATTTTTATACCTTAGTCATTCTGACTTAATTAGGTTTTTATCTTAACATTGTTCCCTTAAAAGATAGGAATCTAGATCTATTTCTTCATATTTGGCCTTTTTTCAAGATTTTTGTAAACATCTGTTACCTTGTTTTGTATATCTGGAATTAGTCTCTCTGTTGACAAGCCTATGATTCTTTACAGCTCCTATGCAGTTGAAACTCTGAGCTGGAAAGTATATATAAACTTGTCTGTCTTGTCTTGCTAGCTAAGATGAGGCAAGAGTCCCCCTCATTAAAAAGTGAGTCATTTGGGTAGGGAGGCTACAACTGTGTGTGTTCTTCCCAGCAATTGTTGGTTCTTTTCACTTTCACTCTTACAGTGAAGGCCCTAAAGCTGTTGCAGCTCCTCGACCTGATCGGTTGGTCAATCGCTTAAAGAACATCACCCTGGATGATGCCAGTGCTCCACGTCTAATGGTTCTTCGTCAGCCAAGGGGACCAGATAACTCAATGGTATGATTTCATTAGGGATGTGAGAGAGGTCAACTAATAATCTTAACTTCAACTTAAAGAACTTAGTGAAGCAAGGGTTGCTTATCACTAGTTTGGGCTCCCTAACACTTTAATTCAGACCCTAAGAGAGTAGATGGTTTCTGTAGGTAGCACTTTTTCTTTCCTTTTTGAGATATGGTCTTGTATGTAAATTAGAGTGGTTTTAAACTCCCCACTATACTTCGGCTTTGCCTGTGGTAGGCTAACTGGTGTGTGCTTTTACACCAAGAAGTGTATATTGGTATATTCTATTCAGTAAGTTTCTTGCTCTTAGGAGGGAATTCGTAGTGGATATGATAAAATAATGCTTCATAGCTTTAGAATTGTATGTTGTGATTGTCAATACACTCAAATCATTAACTGTTACATTTCTCCACAGGGATTTGGTGCAGAAAGAAAGATCCGTCAAGCTGGCGTCATTGACTAACCACGTCCACAAAGCACATCATTAATCCACTATGGTCAAGTTGGGGGGATTCTGGTGAAGGGTTCTTAATATCTTCCTCTTCATCCCTCCCAAAATCTGGAATACTTATTCTATTGAGCTATTACACCAGTTTTAACACCTTCCTCGTGTTATGTTTAAAGAAAAAAAATAAATAAATTTAAGAAACCATTTTAAAATTATGCACAGTTGCAGCCTGGAAAACTTAAGGTGGCGCCTTATAGTGTCAATTTAGGAGCTTTATTTGGTGCATTTAACGCAACTGGTAATTGCAAATTCCACTTGGCCTGTGTAAGTGAACTATACAGACTGTTACTTTGTTGGCCCTATGAAATTCTGCACTCTAGTCAGTATATACTCTACCTTCATGACTTAACACTCAGCTGCATTCTTTTCCTTTTTTTTCCCCTGTTCATTATGCTTTAATTCTGAGGACCATATGAAGGTAGAATATATTTTAAAAATTGCAAAAATTTATATAGCAAACGATTTTCTTAAGTTGATGGCCAAATGTTAAAATGTTATTTTCATATCATTTATAATCTTGTCACAATCCACTTAACGAAGTTTGATTACATTTCAGTGAAAATTATCTTCCAGAGTAGTTTTTTTTTTCTTCCTGGGATGGAGGGGGTAAATAACTTTACTACAATTAGTATGTGTGGTGCAGAATTTCATGCAAATGAAGTGTGCCAGCAGTGTGATAATTTAAACATATTTAAACAAAAGACGAATGCACAAAATTGCTGCTGCTTAGATCACTGCAGCTTCTAGGACCCGGTTTCTTTTACTGATTTAAAAACAAAATGAAAAAAAAATAATAAAAAAGTTGTGCCTGAAATGAATCCTGTTTTTTTTAATAAGTAGCCTCCTGGTTCCAGTGCCCTGTTCAATACAGGCACTCGATCCTTGGTGTAGCTTCTGTTCAACTTTGTATCACGGGAACGGATTGGCCTGATTTCTCGGCCTTCCTCTTGAATTGGCCCCAGACAGGGTCCCTGGCAAGTGGAGTGAAGGCTTTTTGGCTAAAGATGACAAGGGTCAGCTCAGGGGTTGTCGGGGAGGGCGCTTTCAAAATCTTCCCCGTTGTCATTTGAGGTTTTGAACTCTGGGTAAAGAGGCCGTTTATCTTTGTAAACACAGAACATTTTTGCTTTCTCCGGTTTTATGTTAATGGCGAAAGAATGGAAGCGAATAAAGTTTTACTGATTTTTGAGACACTAGCACCTAGCGCTTTCATTATTGAAACGTGGGAGGGGAGTGGAGGGGAGGGAAGGGGCGGTTCTGGGTGCGGCCTGCCATAAGACTCTTAAGTCGTCGGCCCACGTGGCTGGGGCGGGGACTTGGGCGCCTAGTGATTACGTAACGGGTGGGGCCGGAAGTGCCGCTCCCTGGTGGGGGCTGTTCATGGCGGTTTCGGGGTCTCCAACAGCTCAGGTTGAAGTCCAAAAGCCTCCCGAGGAGGAGTCTGCGGAATTTGAGGTAAGGCTCCGACTTGCCTGGCGTCTGACTTCTCAGCGTGTGGACTCCCGGCTGGGCGGGGAAACTCGGAGGCTCGCGAGCTGGAAACAAAGGCCTGGGTGGGGGACTCAAACTGGCTCTGGCTGTCCGTGGGGTGATTTTCAGAACCGGAAAGGGGAGTTTCGGGAAGTGGTCGTGCCAGGCGGACCCCAGAGCTTAGGTTTGCAGAAATAGGGAGGGGGGGGTTCCTTTCCCGTAAATTGAGGGCGGGGCCGAGTCGATTGAAAAATAGACGCGGGTCTTTAATCCAAGAATCTGACCCGCACTCACCTGCAAGTAATGTTATGTTTCTGAATCATTTTCAAAACTTAGTGGAAGGCCACGTGTGTCGAACCGGGTGCCTTAGAAACATAAGAGTTTAGTAAACTCACAGAAGCCCTTGAAGTACTGTAAGTTTAGATTGCCAGTTTAATCGTAATTGCTGCTTTCCTACAGGTTTTTGCTGGTGTGAAATGACTGAGTACAAACTGGTGGTGGTTGGAGCAGGTGGTGTTGGGAAAAGTGCTTTGACAATCCAGCTAATCCAGAACCACTTTGTGGATGAATATGATCCCACCATAGAGGTGAGGCCCAATCCACTGCCTGGTCCTTATCCTCTCTTTAGGCTCTTACCCATAACTGCTCTTTGAAAGTAAAGAGAAGAGAAAGCAAGAAGGTATTCCAAAAACAGTAAATTTTACAGAGTTGTAGAAACAAGTTCGTGCTTACTAAAGATTTCCTTTTAAAAGTAAACAGTTTTCATTCCGTGTCTTTATGTCACAGCTCTTTAATAGAAACGTAGGTCATAAGGAAAAGATTGTAGGTGATCATACAATGAAGATAGAGAACTTGGAGCACTCGATAGCCTACAGTTTTCATTCTTGATCTAGTCCAGATTGAGTTGAGGTAGAAACAAGTTGAGATTTTGAGTCTTTGTGTCTAGGAATTCCTTCTCTGCAATTTAGTTATGGAATATTGAGGAAAATCACCTAAATCTTCACAAGTCTCATATTTCTATGTGATGTTAAATTTCTATCACCTTCCTGGGATTAATGGTTCAGGTATGTATAAGCCCAGTTTGTAAGCATCCAAGAAGCTGAGGGAGGAGGTTCTAATTTCAAGGCTTGCCTGAACTACATATTGAGGCCGTGTTTACAAAATATCAAATAAATTTTTTTCATGTGCAAACCTGTTCTACCACACAGGAATGTTAGACAAATTCAAATGTCTACACAGGTTACATTTTAATATATTCATGGAACAAAATAGAAGCACATTTTCAGTACCACAGATAAGGTCTTCTAAATGTGGAATATTGTATAATAAAAGTAAGATGATAGCTGTAAATCCATTTCAGATGTTTCTGGGGTTTTTTGTTGTTGTTGTTGTTTTGTTTTTTGTTTTTGTTTGTTTTTTGGTATTCTTGTCTTAATCTCATAGTTAGGCTGGTTTTGGGTTTTGTTTTGTTTTTGAAATGGTCTCACTGTGCTACCCTGGCTGGCCTGAGACTTGCTATGATCAAGCTGGCCTTGAACTCAGAAATTAATCCACCTGCCTTTATTTTATGTCATTTGTGCATGCATGTGTGTTATTATGTATGTGTGTGTGTGTGTGTTTGCTGTTTATGCTACCTATTAGCAGATTGACGGTAAGTCACATAGGTGCAGGGTAATTACATTTGTGCAGGGTAATTACATTTCTCTGGTTCTAAATAAGATTGAGCCTGTCCTTGTCCCTACCACCACCACCACCTCCTCACCCTTTGATATTCCCAGGATTCTTACCGAAAACAAGTGGTGATTGACGGTGAGACCTGTCTACTGGACATACTGGACACAGCTGGACAAGAGGAGTACAGTGCCATGAGAGACCAATACATGAGGACAGGCGAAGGGTTCCTCTGTGTATTTGCCATCAATAATAGCAAATCGTTTGCAGATATTAACCTCTACAGGTATTTGGGTTATTTTCTGAAACAAAAACTTTGTATGTGCTCTAAAGCTATGCTAAAGTTTGTGGACTTAGGAAACACGCAACTTTTTAACATTTTGGTTACACTGTTTACTTAGGAAGGCCAGGACAAGTGCAACAGTACATATGTGCCATGGGAGTCAGAGGACAGAAAAAAGAAAGAATCTGGTTTTCACTGAGTGTGTGGTATTCTGTTACTGTACTACTCGTGGAAATAAAGCATGCTACAGAATAACAGTAAGGATGATAGACAAGTCAAAGAACATGAAGGTGGCTTTTCTCAGAGAACTAGAGAGTGTCAGAGCTATGTGGGCCCTAAGGATTTTAGTCGGATATTCTTACTCATTTTACATTTTTGAGACCAGATATTGCTATGTATCCCAGGCTGACAATCCTCCTGCCTCAGCCTCCCAAGTGCTAGCTTTATAGGTATGTGCCAACATACCCAGCTAATATACTTTACAGAGTAATAGAGTTCAGAGGTGATTTGTTGGATTTTCAGAGTTGTGATGCTTTTCTTTTTTTGGTTTGGTTTGGTTTGGTTTTAAAGACAGGGTTTCTCTCCAAAAAATACATACATACGTACATACATACATAATGAAGCTGGGCAGTGGTGGCGCACGCTTTTAATCCCAGCACTTGGGAGGCAGAGGCAGGTGGATTTCTGAGTTTGAGGCCAGCCTGATCTACGGAGTGAGTTCCAGGACAGCCATGGCTACACAGAGAAACCCTGTCTTGAAAAAAACAAAACAAAAAAGACAGGGTTTCTCTGTATGGCTTGGAAGTCACTCTTTGACCAGGTTGGCCTTGAACTCACAGAGCTCCACCTGCCTCTGCCTCCCCAGTTCTGGGATTAAAAGCATGCACCACTACTGCCCATCCATATTTTTCCTTAGTAGCAGAGGTAGACACCTACCCCACCCCCCCCAAAAAAAAAAAACCCCAAAACACTGGGTCTTTCTCTTAGAGCAGTATTCTGTCTTTATGCACTGCCAAAGTTGAAACTTGGCTCTGTTATTAATTAGCTAAGTAACTTTAGGACAAAATACTAAATTTGTGTGTCTCAGTTTCTGAATTTATTTTAAGAATACCTCCCTCAAGGCTGGAGTGATGGCTCAGGGATTAAGAACACTGACTGCTCTTTCAGGTGACCCAGGTTCAATTGCCAGCACCCACATAGGGCCCTGGACCATCTGTAACTCTAGTTCTAGGGCATCCAGAACCCTCCTCTGGCCTCCTCGAACACCAGGAACATGTGTTCATAGACATACATGTAGTAAAAACACTCATACTCAGAAATAAAATTAAATCTTCTTAAAAAAAGAGTTCCTCCCTGATAAAGTTGCCAAGAGTAAACAAATTAATATATATTCAGAACAGTGTTTGACCCTTGGTATGTACTTTGTAAGTCTTGCCTACACCCCGAGTCCTATCTTACCTTCCTATATTTTCTTAGTTGGTGTTCTTTGTGAGGTAATGAAACCTGAAAACCAGTTTCTCAAAGGAAAATGTTCTCTCTGAGCCAGCACTTTTTTAAAGCATCCTGTGAGGATGTTGAGTAGGCAGTGATATGGCTTAGTTGGTAAGGCTTGCCACCATGCCCAAACCTCCACATCTGCACCAGGGCATGTATGTGTCTAGCAAAAAAAAAAAAAAAGTTAATTTTTAGAAATAGGTGAAAAGGAAACTAAGGTATCAATGAGCTTATTCTATAGCAACATGAAACTCCCAGTGACCTTCATCAGGGACACTATAGACGCGATAGCTGTCTTGTCAGTTTGTGTGTGCTGAAAATAAATCACTTGCTCAGAAGTACACTGATACTCAGAAAAAACTGAGTCTGGTCCTCACAGAAGGTTTAATAAAATAAGGAGCAGTAGCGACCCAACACCAGCATGCTCTGGGTGTTTAGGCTAGTTTACAGTCTCCCTTGACATAAGCAACCACCACTGGGCATGCTGGTACCTGGGAAGCCGAAGGAAGAGGATTGAGAGGTCAAGGCTACCTTTGTCTAGATATTGATATAGATACAGATATAAATACAGTAAAATCCTGGATTTTTGGGTTTTGGGTTTTGTTGTTGTTTGTTTTGGGGGTTTGTTTAGGGTGGGGAGAGAAGGGGGAAGGGTCGCAAATAATTCTGATATTGTACCAAAGTACTGTAGCTAGCTAGTAGGATGCAGTTGAGGTAAGTGACTGAAATACAAGTCTAAAATAGTACTGTGTAATATTATAGCCATGACCAGATGTGGTTATTTGACATTTACATAAAACTGAAAAATTAGTTCCTTGGCCACAGAAGCAACAAAGTACTCAGTAGTAGGCTAAGGACTACCAGGTACCATTTTTTATTATTACAAAAAGTTCTTTGTCACAAGAACCTGAGGCAATAGCTTTTAGATACACTTGGTGCTATATTTATTATGTGTGAACTGAAAAGAAAACTATCTTTGCCACGGATGGTGGCATGCACCTTTAATCCCAGCACTCAAGAGGCAGATCTCTGACTTCAAGGACAGCCACTTATACATAGAGAGACCCTTTGTTTTTATTAAAGAGCTGTCTTTGATAGGCCTGGATCTATGCACATCCCTGCATGTATAAACATTTATTAAGAGCAATTCTAGACTTTTCTTAATGTTCCGTATCATGAGCTTCCAGCTATAATTTTGTTTGAGGAAAGTATTAGAGCACCACCCATCTTAGAAAGTAAGTTAATTATCTTCCATTAAATATTGCTGTTGCAAAGGGAGCTTTAAAAAGTTATCTAGGGGCCAGCAAGATGGTTCAGTGGGTAAAGGTGCTTGCTGCCAGGCCTGACAACCTGAGTTTGATTCCCCAAGACCCATATAGTAGAAGGAGAAAACTAACTTTCACCCAAGGTTTTCCTCTAATCTCCACATGCCTACCATGTGACATGTACACACACAAATAAGATATGAGTTAAAAAATTGTTAAGTCATTTAGAATCCATAAGCTCTACTTTCTGAACTTTTAAACTTAATCTAAAGTACTGTTTATAGTTTCCAGTTAAACCCAGACCAAGCTCCTTGGAAAATCTAGGAGCCTGACAAGGACATGTGTAGTCAGTATATTAGAGACAGCTGTTTCTAGGAAGTTAACTGGTATACACAGCCTCGTATGGCTTCTACACCAAGTTAAACTGATACTCTTGACTTACAGGTCTATAGTTTTAGGAGTGTTCAGAGTGTTTAAGGTGAGTAATAGTAGCTAACAGGACTTTGTAAGTTTACCACTTCCCTACCAGTTTACTCCTCCAGAAATCTTGCTTTGCTTATGATCAGCTACCTGTTCTTTGTTCTAGGGAGCAAATTAAGCGAGTGAAAGACTCTGATGATGTACCCATGGTGCTGGTAGGGAACAAGTGTGACTTGCCAACAAGGACAGTTGACACAAAGCAGGCCCATGAGCTGGCCAAGAGTTACGGAATTCCATTCATTGAAACCTCAGCCAAGACCCGACAGGTATGCTAGAGATTTGAGCAAGTGTGAGTGTTTGTTTAGATCAGATGCTTGATTGGTAAGTGTGGTAGAGATGTAGTCTGTGTTATTTATCATGGATTTTGGATAGTAGTTTCTGTATGGTTGGTCTTTGTTTCTTGTTAATCTTTTCCTCTCCTCTCCCACCTCCCAAAAAAGAACACTACTGTACTGTGGGATTTCTATCTCTGCCTTATCAGGCTCAACTCTTCCAAGATTAAACATACTTGTAAGCACGAATCCTTTTTTCCATCAGCACTTGCCACTGTTGGGGAATTAACTTTACTGAAGGGAATCCTCATAGGTAGTAGTTCTGTACTGTGCACCCACCTTGCCCTTTTCTCTTTGCTGGACTATCTTTGTGTTGTTGTTTGTTTTGTAAAACACATGCCATTTATCAGCCTGTCGGTGTGATCCCCTAGGGATGCTGGATTTAGTGTCTTCTTCCTAAGTCACCCCAGTTTATCAGCTGTTGATTAGTATCAAATTCACACAGAGAGGTGGAAATGAGAGATTACAACTTGGGCTGTGTCCGTCGTTTGTTTTGATTTTTTTCCTTTACCCTTTTTCTTTAACTAGGGTGTGGAGGATGCCTTTTACACACTCGTAAGGGAGATTCGCCAGTACCGAATGAAAAAGCTCAACAGCAGTGACGATGCCACTCAAGGTTGTATGGGGCTGCCCTGTGTGGTGATGTAGTAAGGTGAGTGTGTGCTCTTGCATTGTAACTGTAGCTGCTACTTAGCATTAGGCAGTTCAGAATAGTGTGAGCACTATTGACTTTTGCAACTTAAATGAGAGTTTTTATATATTTGCAACTAGAAAATCACTTTTCTGGGAGTTGGGACATAGCTCAGCAGCTAGGAATACTTACTGCTCTTCTAGAGGATGTGATTCATATGCCAGCATCCGTTAGGTGAATGTAGCCAACTCTGACTCCAGCTCCAAGGGGTCCACTGTTCCTCTTGTTACTCTTACGACCTCCACAGGCACCTACATGTCACACACACACAGACACACAGACACACAGACACACAAGCAAATATTCAAAATAAAGTACTTTGGGCCTGGAGAGATGGCTCAGTGGTTAAGAGCACTGACTGCTCTTCCAGAGGTCCTGAGTTCAATTGCACATGGTGGCTCACAACCATCTGTAATGAGATCCAATGCCCTCTTCTGGTGAGTTTGAAGAGCGTGACAGTGTGCTTGCATACATAAAATAAATAAATCTTTAAAAAAATAAAATAATTTCCCTTATGGCACCCTTTCAGGGAGTGCTAAGATCTAATTAATTCTTTCAGCATTTATTCTACTGACAGCTTCCTATTTTTAGTATAGGAATTTGAGACCTGTATGTGCCGTGATTGTGGAGTGGACACATTGAAGACACCATACTAAGAACTGGCAGTAGAGAAGTTAAATGACACTGTGTTCTTTTGTTCTAGATCCTTTGAAAGTTCTGTCATCAGAAAAGAGCCACTTTTAAGGTAAGACAAGTTTGAAATGTCTAAATTGACACTGAGTTTCTTGGCCCTTGTTTCTCTTACCTCCTGTCTCTGTTTCAGCTGCACTGATGCCCTGGTTCTGACATCCCTGGAGGAGACGTGTTCCTGCTGCTTTCTGCATCTCAGAGAAGCTCCTGCTTCCTGCTTCTCTGACTCAGTTACTGAGCACAGCCATCTAACCTGAGACCTCTTCAGAATAACTACCTCCTCACTCGGCTGTCCAACCAGAGAAATGGATCTGTTTCTCCCCAGTAGTAGTTCTCTGCCCTGGGTTTCCCCTAGAAACAAATACACCTGCCAGCTGGCTTTGTCCTCTGAAAAGCAGTTTACATTGATGCAGAGAACCAAACTATAGACATGCAATTCTGTTGACAACAGTTTCTTAAGCTCTAAGGTAATAACTGCTGGCGATTTCCCCCATGCCCCCAACTGTTGAACTTGCCCTTGTTAGTTTGGGGGGAAATGTCATAAATTACTCTCTTCCCAAGAATATAATTAATTTGCTGATTGATTGATTTGTAATGTGATTAGCTATATTCTATAAACTGGCATCTGCTCTGTGTTCATAAATGCAAACATGAATACTCTCAACTGCATGCAATTAAATCCAACATTCACAACAAAGTGCCTTTTTCCTAAAAGTGCTCTGTAGGCTTCCGCTACAGTCTGTGATTGGAATAGATGTCTCAAGAACCATTGTGTAGGAAAGTGACTATGATCCATCTACATTTGAGGGAAAGGTATATCTACCTGATGGCAGATGCTTTGTATATGTACATGAAGATAGTTTCCCTGTTTGGGATTCTCCCAGGAGAAAGATGGAACTGAAACAATTATGAGTAATTTCATTTAATTCTAGCTAATCTTTTTTTTTTGGGGGGGGGTAGGTTACCACCTATAAATATTTGTCATTTCTTCTAGCTTACTGATAATCTAATAATCAATGAGCTTCCATTATAATAAATTGGTTCATTCCAAGAAGTCCTCCATTTATAGTTAGTCAGATACTGTAAAAATTGGCATGTTATTACTTTATAGCTGTGATTAATGATTCTTCAAACCTTAAATACCATTATTAGCAGGCAGGTTATATCTCTCCTGCATAGTTTCTTCATGGAATGCGTGTGTGTGTGTGTGTGTGTGTGTGTGTGTGTGTGTGTGTGTGTGTGGAGAGAGTGGCCTTCAGTTCCCTTCTCAGCATCCCTCTTCTCTCAGCCTAGAGCATCCTATAGGGGCTTGAATAATTATCTCAGTTGAGTAAACCATGGTGCTAATGGACCAGATCATGCTTTCAAAACTTGAACAAGCCAGTTAGCATCACTGAGAAAACAGTTCACCCATATTTGTTCCCTGCCTATTATTCCTGCCTATAGACTTTTGCCTGATGCCTGCTGTTAGCACTATAAGGATAAAATTTAGTGTGGTTCTATACCAGGACTGGAAATACCTGGTGAGCTGTGAGGTAAGCCTAGATATCTTTACATTTTCAGACCCTTATTTTTAGCCACATGGAAACTGAAGCCAGAGTTCATACCTCCATCTCTCCCCCTGTTAGATTAATGTTCTATACAGCTTTCTAAAAGTATTTAAAACATGTCTGTAAGTTAGGCTGCCAACTAACAAAAGCTGATGTGTTTGTGCAAATTGGTATCCTTTGCTACTTGAGAGAAGAATGTAAAATGCCATTAATTGTTGTCATGTAGAGGCTTGGTATTTGTGGTAATGCCCTGATAATTCATTGGTGGGTTTTGTTTGTCATGTGATACTTAAGCTTTATAACTCAGCTCAGTAATTCTAATGAAAACATAAATCGGATACCTTGATTGAAACAAGCAAACCTAGTTCCAAAATGGCCATTTTCTCTTCTGATCTTGTAATACCGAAAAATCTGAGATCCTTGGGATTCCTTTGTTTATAACAGGATCTTGGTATGTAGTCCTGGCTGGCCTCAAACTCACAACATTTTTCCTGGATTAATCCCCCAAGTGCTGGGATTGCAGGCACATTCTACCACACACACCTGGCTCATCTAGTTTCTAGTAAGTTCTCATTGTTAAGCAAATTCCCCATCACCTTGAAACTAATCAGAAGAGGGAAGAAGCAAGCTATGCTGCTCAGTGCTGGGGCCATTCACTGGGGTTTGCGTTCCTAAGCCTTTTACAGTGTGGCTCAGTCATCTTCCTGAAGCTGCCAAAGCCAACACTTGGTCTTGTTCTGTTTTAATGTGTCTGTATGACTGGTGGTGAATCCCTAAAACGTTTATTAAACTCCAGTTAAGGAGAAAGTTACTTCCCTTGGCCCTTTTGACCATATTTCATGTGTGTGGTGTATGTATGTATGTATGTATGTATGTATGTATATATGTATGTATGTAGTTGGTCTCCAGTATGTTCTAAACACAGAAACAAACGGAGCCAATTCAGCCTTCAGATGCCCTTCCTCGCATATATCCCACGGGGTGTGGGTTTTGGCACAACAGTGACAAAAGCCAAGTAAGTCTAGTTGGTGTGGTATCAATGTGTTTTTAGAGAGAGTAATTAGTGAAGATCTGGGTTACCTCAAAGTCACAAAGCCTCTCTTGCTGAATTTAAGTGCCTGGCCTGCTGTCACAAATTAACATGTTCCTTTAAGGCAGTTAGTTGAAGCTTTGTTCACACATTGGAGAGTATGAAAATGAAGTGTTCTAAGGAGCTCTGATACTGAATTTGTGTAAACCTGTTAAATGCTGTTTGTTCCAGGACTTAAGAGTGTGTGAGTTGGTATCTCAGTACTTCGTTTACTAGTCCCATAGGAGTGCCATGTGTATAGTGGAGGTAGGTTTGTTTTAGCCAGCCACCTGTAGAATCAGCCTTTAAACTGCTGTGAACTTTGTCATGACTTGAACATGAAGATAAACAAAAACTCTCTAAAGACAAAAATGTTTGTTTTCCCCATTAGAGAATGTGTGAGCTTAGTTTTATCTTCCTTTGTATTTAGTCAAACTCTCAAGCTGGCAGCTACGACCAAGGAGCAGAAGTGCATTCCACCTGGTGGCGTTAGCTCTGCTAATTATGAGAAGCAGAGTTAATAGTGGAAAACGTTTTGCCTGGGTGGTTTCTATTTAAAAGAGAGAGATGATAATTCTTGAACATTAGTTTTTATTTTGCTATTTCTTTAAGCCGTCTGATGTGCCACAAAATTATTTTAAGGTATTTGTGATTTAAGAGTGTTCTCATGAAATTAGCTGTAGATATTTTTAAAAATACAGCTGATTTTTAAAACTCTTGAGTATTGCTCTAGGCAAGTGTTTAAGCTCTGGAGAGAAGGGAAGGTGGATGGAGTTGTTTGGCTTTTGTATTTCCGTGCTGTCAAATATCGGTCAGAACGTCAACTGTGTAATCCTGCTGGTTCTTTAACTATTGGCCTCTGTGGCCCTCATGAAGGGGCTGATATTTTAAGTTGACTGTTTTATTGTAAATTAATCCATTCTAATTTTTAAAGACTTGATTTGACTGTTTTCCTTGTTAAATAATTTTTAAAAAATAAAAAACTGGAAGTTCTTTGCTTAACTGTATTTCCCCCATTGTCTTAAGGTTTCTATTGCTGTGAAGAGACACCATGATGGCAGCAACTATTATAAGAAAACATTTAATTGAGGCTGGCTTAGAGTTTCAGAGGTTCAATCAGTTATGGTCATGGTGGGAAGCATGGCAGCTTGCAGGCAGACATGGTGCTGGAGATGGAGCTGAGAGTTCTACATCTTCATCTGAGAGCAGCAGGAGGAGACTATGTGCCACACTAGACCTAGCTTGAGCAATGGAGACCTCAAAGCCTGTTCCCACAGTGATACACTTCCTTCAACAGGGGCACACGTCTGTGGGCCAAGCATTCAAACACATGAGTCTATGGGAGCCATTCCTATTCAAACCACCAAACCTACCAAGGTCCAATACAGGAAACGATATTTCAGATACTGATGTTCTGCTTGACAGTGCTGGGGAGACTCAAGCTCCTCGTTTGCTCTCAATGTAGTAAGTGGCCTCCTCTGCCTCTCTGAGGCTCTCCTGTGGTTTTTGTTATTTAGGCCTAGTTGTGTTGGAGGATGCATTGCTTTCTGAGTAGCATGATGAAGTTTGGCAGGGTCCTGTGTCACCCTGCCAGAGCATGAGTCTTCCCTTGTACCAACTACACAGCCACGCTGTTCATTACCTGTTCTGGGGTCCCTTGGCACATCGACTGTATCAGTAGCACAATTTACCTAGAGGCTGAGCATGGGAGAGCGGTGTAGTCATGTTACGGTGTTCATTATGGGAGCTGTCAAGCTCTTACTGTGACCCCTTTATAGATTGAATTTTGTCATACATCTGTCCAGGAAGAAACAGTGTACAGACAGATTAAGGTTTGTATGCTCCTTGCAATTGTATGCATCCAGGGGGAGACTCAGAATGTACCCTTCATGGATAAATGGAGACCAATATGTAAGTCAAGGTTTGCTTTGGGGGATTATTCAAAACTATTTGTCATATCCTCATTTATGAATAAGACTGTTGGGCCAGGTGAGATGGCACACGTTTACAGTCCTAGCACTGGAGAAGTAAAGGCAAGAGGAGAAAACCAAATTTAAGTGACAAAATGCTAAGTACCACTCAGGATACAGATATTTTAGGCTGAAAAGACGCCTCCCTGAAGAAGCTAGGTTGCTAGGGTTCAGCTCCGTAGCTCTTGTGTATGTTCACCTCTCATGACAAGCAATACTTAAGGTCGTCAAAACCCCAATGTGGTTTCATGAGTTACTTGATACCCATAAATTCATGAAAAGGGGCCAAGATGCCTTGAGTGATCATTTTGCAAAACTGCCTAAGAAGGCTTTGCAATGCTTTTAAAGTAACCAGGCAACAACATGTCCACCAGATGAAAACTGAATTGAAGAATATACCAAAATATATCAACAAGTGCACTTTTTAGTGTTAAATTGAGCTGAAGGTGGCCTTCACCCTTGCTTGGATTATTCCACGTGCTATCATTTTAATCCATTTGGAAGTAGGAACTGGTTACCTCTCAGCACAGATGGTGGGATCACGTCTTTGCTTTAACAAGTACAGATTCCAGTTGTCAACACTTTGTGTAGGAACATTTGGGGGTCAAAGTGATACCAGCAGCTTCCAAAGACAGAGGCAGCTATATGACTACCTGGGCAGTTGTGGTTGGAAACTGGCAGCTGTTTGTTAGAACTTTACAGATAAGTTTGGGGTCTTGCCCTGTTTAGGAAAAGGGTTCTTCCAGAATGGCTGTTAATGGATGTGACAAACTTGGTGATATTAGCATTTTCTGTAGGAGCTTGAGATGTATAGACTTTGATATTTAAGTCAGAAAAGCCCTGCACATTATTTTAAGCATTTTGGGATATATAAAAATTTGCTCAGCTGAGACCAAGCATACCTGATAGGGATGGATTTTTAAAAAATCCATAGGAGATAGAATTTAAAGACATCTTTGATAAGTCAAAAGATCTTGTAAATTTATGCTTATTTTGTCTGTAAAATTTGAGAAGGTTGACATTTAAGTTTAAAGTTCAAAAATGAAACCCTAGCGTGGCATGAGAACTGATATTAGTAACCTGTGTTCCTCTCTGAGAACAAGACTTAGGCCCTGCTGGAACAGTGCTGGGGTCCACTGGAAGAGCAGCTAGTACTTTTAAACACTGAGCCATCTCTCCAGCCCCTTAAGTGAGTGTGTGTGAGTGAATACCACTTGTATGTCAGTGCCCAGAGAAGCCAGAAAAAGGTAATAAGGATCCCTGAGAGTTGTTATTACAGGTGTTGTGAGCCACTCAGTGTGGGTGCTGGAAACCAAGCTCTGGTCCCCTGGAATAGCAACCAGTACTGAACCATCTCCCCAGCCTGTTCCTAAGCCGGTCTGAGGAAGACAGATGACAGCTGCTAGCTGCTTCATCTTTTTATCTGCATCCCCGAAACTGTTCTTTACCTGTACCCCACAATCAGTGCTAAACAGAGTGGGTGCCAAAGGGGAGCCAAGTCTGCTGTCTGTGGGCCTCTTGCAACAGTAAATCTTTTCTGGGGAATTACTCACTGGCCTGATTGAAACGTTATCAGGAGCTTTTCCAACCTACTCAGTCCTTCCATCTGAAGGTCCTCCCATCTACTCGGGCTCCCTTCCTTTTTATCTGTTCTAGGCACTGGCTCCAGTATATCACTTGGGTGTCTAATCTTATCTGAGCATCTCACTAAGTTACCAGAAGTCCCTGGGACTAGTTCTAAAGCCCAGGCAGGCCTTGAGTTAGGACTGTCCTGCCTCAGTTCTTGAGTAGTTTGGATTACAGGCTCAAGCCACTGGAACACGCTAGTTTTGTTTCTCTCTGCCTCTGCCTCTGTCTCTTCTCTCTCTCTTCTCTTCTCCTCCTCCTCCTCCTCCTCCTCCTCCTCCTCCTCTTCTTCTTCTTCCTTCTTCTCTCTCTCTCTCTCTCTCTCTCTCTCTCTCTCTCTCTCTCTCTCTCTCTCTCTCTCTCTCTCTCTCTCAGAAAGGATCTCTCTCTCTCTCTCCTTAAATTTGTGTATTAAAAGCTGTTTTCACCGGGCAGTGGTGGCGCACGCCTTTGATCCTAGCACTTGGGAGGCAGAGGCAGGCAGATTTCTGAGTTCGAGGCCAGCCTGGTCTGGTGGTTCATGCCTTTAATCTTAGCACTCAGGAAGCAGAAGCAGGCAGATCTCTGAGTTTAAGACCACCCTGATTTACAGAATGAGTTCCAGGACAGGGCTACAATTAGAAACCCTGTCTGGAAAAAAAAGGAAAGAGACAGAGACAGGGAGAGAGAGAGACAGACAGACACAGAGAGAGATGAGACAGAGAAAAGCAAGTGAAAGATGCTGGGGCTACAGTTCAGGGGTGGAACACTTGTACAGAGGCATTGATGCTCTGGGTTTGAGAGACAGAGAGATACACATTCCTGTTGAGTGTGTACCCAAAGACTACAGAGGCACAGAGAGTCAGATCTGGAGCTAGAGTTGCAGTGAGTTGTGAGTTATCTGATGTGGGTGCTGGGAACCAAATGCAGGTCCTCTGCAAGCACTCTCAACCGCTGAGCCATCTCTCCAGCCCCAGCTGTTTTGGAGAGAGGAGCAGGTATCTTCTGAGACTGTATTATGGCATTCATGAATGCAGTCATGGAAATGTGCATGATTTCCATACTAGTAACAATTCTAGGAGCCAGTGGTGGCATGGCTGAGCAGGAAAGGTGCCTGCTGGAAGCCTGCCACCCAGAGTTCCATCCCTGTAACTCACATTGTAGAAAGAACTGACTCCTGAAAGTTGTACTCTGATTTCCATATAGCACAAATAAATAAATAAAAGCTAATTTCAAGATTTTTGTTCCACCCGTATGTGTGTATGTGCTCTACATGTGTGTGATTAGCCTTAGAGGCCAGAAGAGATCATACAATTCCCTGGGGCTGAAGTTACAGACAGTGTGAGCTGTCATATGGGTGCTAGAAACCTAGGAATTTTGCAAGAGCAATAAGTGCTCTGAACCTCAGAGCCAACTCTAGCCCCCATTTTTCGTTAAGCACAAGGAGAGAGCTTCCTGACCTATGTTACCGAATTAGCCCAAATCATCTTTCACCATTAGAAAGCAGCATGATTTTTTTTCTTCATAGCATTCATTACAAACTAATATTATTTTAGAAATTGTGTTTGATATTGAGCCCGGGTTTCATGTACCCCAGGATAGTCTTAACTTGCAACATAGCTGAAGGTAACCACGAATTCATAATCTTCCTGCTTCTACTTCCTGAGTGCAGGCGTTCTCCATCATGCCTAATTTTTAAAAGTGTTTTATTGGATATTGTCTGTCAGAATTTAAATAGGAGCTTTATCTTTCTTGCTTGCTATATGCTACTGCCCAGGCCAGTCACAGCTTTCAAACAATGAAGCCACACAAATAGTAAAATCGTGTATGTGTGTGTTGAGTGTATGTGGTGTGTGTGAGTGTAAGTGTGTAAAAAAGAGTTGTGTGTGGGTGTGCATGGGAGTGTGAATATGGTGTTTGTGACAGTATGTGGGTGTGTGAGTGTGGGTGTGTAAGGTTGTGTGACAAAGTATGTGAGTATATGAGTATGGGTGTATAAGTGTGTGTGACATATAAGTGTGAGTAAGTGTGGGTGTGTAAGTGTGTGAGCGTATATATGGGTAAGAGTATACTCTGAGGACTTGATTGATGAATATTGCCAGAACATTCACCAACTACAGAAAGCCCTCCTAGTGTTAAGACACTCCTTTTCAGAAGCCCATGACACTGTGCTGTATGTGGGGTGGAAAATAAACACAGGATCACATGGAGTAAGAAAAAGGCACACTTGATGAGCTAGCATGTTGTGTGGTGAGTGTTGAAAATCGATTTCTGGCTACTATCACTACCTTTTCTAAAATCCCGAGATAAAGACTGGAGGCTTCACCTGTTGTTCACTGTCATTGCCTAAAGCTATAAATAGGTCTGAAGCTCATCTCCCCTTTTAGCAGGGAAGGGTCAGATTACAGGGGGCAAAACAAAATAATAAAATA